TGCAGGGTCCTGACTTTCGAGGCTGCTTTGCCTTCCCTCTTCTGGGCCCTCGGCCACGTCCATTGCCGGATCCGGGTGAAGACATGTACTTTCTTCAGGTCTTTCAGAGGCATGTCCATCCTTGCCGCTTTGCAGGTGATAGGGAGTACTGTTCTTGTACGGCCCATCATCATGCAAGCGTTTCTTCCTCTGCTCTCCTGCCCTCACACTGCTTGTGTGTTGGGTTCGGGGGGGCCTCGCCACATGGCCATAGTGGCGCCTTGTTTTTGGGCTGCCTGGGCATCTCCCATAACCATTTCCTCCCGACCCACTCTTTCGGGCGCCAAAAAGACACATCGGTGGCTCAGGGGTGTCTGCCGAAGAGGATCGGGCAGGAGGCTTTTCACTATCATCGTCTTCTTGCCCACCCTCTCGGGCGCCAAAAAGGCACATCGGTGGCTCAGGGGTGTCTGCCGCAGAGGGTTGGGACAGAGTACTATATTGATGATGACGTGTGGAGCCTTTTTCAAGATCTGATTTTGGTGCTCCTTCTACGCATCGGGAGCTTTGTGGTTCCCTTGTACAGGGCTCTCTGGTTTATAGGAATGCTCTGTTTGCTGCGCCTCCTCGCTGAGGGCGTGCTCAATACCCACAGTGCTCTTACGACTTGCCCACTATCTCCTTTGTTCGGCGCAAGGTCCGCCACTGTTCTTCCTTTGGGCCAGATAGGTCGCCCTCAGATGAGGCACCACCAGATAGGCGGCCGCCGCAGTGACGGGCGATGGGCCCGACAAGCGCACGGTTCCAGAGGGTCTGCCTGGAGGCCGTGGATACATCTAGGACTGTTCTTGTCGCTGCCGGTCAGGGTTTGGGCTGCACCACACCATATCTTGGAGGCAACGCATGCCGTCGAGCAGTACGTTAGATTTTTCCCAGAGCACCTCGTTCAGCAGGCCCCGAGACAGGATCCTCTGCCCGCAGAGAACTCTGCTAAGATGAGTACCAGTCAGGAGCCAAGTAGTGGGACGCTGCGACCGGAGGTGGAAACCACAGTAGCAGTCTTTACGCCAGCGCACCCTACGGTTTGCTCTACATACCATGGGCCCATGCCCCAAACATCAG